AAATGTTTTCTCCTGCGAGAACATCGGAAACACGAGAAACGTTTCTGCGGATGGATCCCAAACAAGACCTTAATACAGCAGGGTGATAGTCTTGGATTTTCCTTTTGTGTTAAAGAGGTTTGGAGTACGCCTATTCCACCTTGGTAGAGGATATTGCTGGGAAGTCCTTATCACCCTATTGGTGTTGTTGTCAGCCTGTTAGTAGAGTAGCAGTGCTGTTAGGGTGTTCTTTTCATAAGGCCTTTTGTGTTCTTTTAGTAGTATGAGCTGCCAGGGTCAATTCTGTAATTACAGCTCTTTTTTTTATCAGCAAAGTGTAAATAGAGATTGGGGTACCACGAGCCCAGGTTTTTGGCAACCAAAAGACTTTCTCCCTTTCTTCTCTCCTCTTTCTCTTCACCTTTTCTTTCACTGTTTGATCAGTTTTTTGAATGAAAATATGGTATCAGAACTGATCTAAGAGCATTCATCAGATCTGCAGTTTTCTTCCAGAACTTTATTTCTTTTGGACTGTGGAGTAGAGAACCCTTGGCGTCTGATGGGTTTTTTCTCTTTTCTTTTGTATTCTCCCTTGGTCATAACACCAAGGAGAACAGGTGTAACAACCCGATGCTGTAGAGGTGACAGAGTTGATATGGTTTCTGCGTATCTGTGTGCACAAGGAGTTGTGTAACCCCTGCTGTAGGTGTATCCAGATTATTTTTCATTTCAGCATGGTGTTAGGTGGATTGTATGTGGGTGAGTCATTGTGAAACCTAAAACCCTAGTGTCGTGGAGCTGTAATTGGTAAGTATCAGCAGTCGAAATTGTTTTCTGGACTGAAACCCTAGTGTTGTGGGGCTGTAATTTGTAAGTTTCAGCAGTTCGAATTGTTTTCTGGATAGTTAAATCAGTGTTGCTACTTTTTTTAAGGTCGTGGGTGTTGAGAGGGTGGTATCATTTTGACTTCCAAGGATTCTACTTCTTCTTGGGTCACCACATCAGGGGAACAGCCAGTGTAGGGACTGATAACATGCTGTTTCCTATGCCAACTACTCCCTTCAATGGCCTGAATTATCTGGAGTGGTCAAAGGGGGTGAAACTCTATGTAATTGCAAGARGGAAAGCTGGGTATATTAATGGGAAGATAAAAGAGCCTAAGAATGGGACCGCTGAACATGATAGGTGGGACCGGGAAAATAGTATRGTGATGTCTTGGCTCCTTGTAGCTATGGAATCTGATGTTAGTAAGAACTTTATATGGGCTGAAACTGCCGGTGAAATTTGGGAACAAGCTGTGACAACATATTCTGAGCAAAGACATTATGCAAAGATCTATCAATTACAGGTTTAATCCACAACTTCTAAACAGGGTGATTGGAGTTTGTTAACATACTATTCAGCTCTCACTTTAGTATGGAAGGAGTTAGATTATTTTCCGAGTATAGAGTGGAAACATGATGATGATGCCAAAGCTTATAAGAAGCTAGTCTCCTAGCAGCGAGCCTTTGCCTTCTTGTTGGGGCTAAATCCTATGTATGAGCCCCTAAGGGTTTAGATTTTAGGAAGTAGTACATTACCTTCAATTCAAGAGGTGTATGCCTTAATCCAGTCTGAAGAAAGTAGAAGTGCGATGGTTACAACTGAGGGGGAGAAGCAAATAGCATTGGCTGCAAGGGGTAATGTGACAAAGAAGAGTGAATTTAAGAAGAATGATGACAAGGACAAAGTTGTGGTGTACCCACTGTCAACACTCTAGACATACGCGTGAGACTTGTTARAATCTCGTAGGAAAGCTGAAGTGAGCAGAAAAAACCAACAGAAGGGCCAAAAGAAGTATAGTACAACTAAAGTGACAACTCAAGATACTTAGTGCGGTGATGT